CCCCACTCCTCCTCATCGAGACATAAAGCAATGCCATTCTATGGAGAAAGGTGCGAAACAACAATAAGTAAAAAATTTCACATGTGAAATCCTTCCTCGGGGACGCACACATTAAAAATGTAATCTATGAGCAAGCACATATACAGGGATCTACCCAGTAAATGGATCTGGGCAAGACTTATTTTCAGACAATTGCGTTTGATCTAAACTGGTCAATGGATTTAAAGTTAAGCGTATTTTTTGGACATATGTGTTCAGTGTCATGTCCGCAATTGACTCTTTTAAACAATATGCACAATGTTCTTGCATCTGGTTTTTAACTTTGCTTTGAACATACGATTCCTAGAACTGTTGCAGAAAATGTTTCTCCCTAGTATAAGCTCATGATCTAAAAGAATCGCATGTCTTAATTAGTTATTCATATATTGTTCTATGACTTTGGCTTGGCTACACCATTTTAAAAGAAAAGATATTCTCTTTTTTCATGGAAAATCACCACTTTCTACTTTCAGATAGCAACGTAGATAAATGCATACAGCGAGCGAACATGACTGTAAAGTGTTTTTAAAAAAAAGCTTTAAAAATCTAACAAAATATTACATCTTCAATTTGTTATTCAAAATTGCCCCTGACAACAAATATTTCATCAAATTGTAAGATGTATATTCGCTTCCAAAAGAATTTCAAATAGTTGACGTATTACAGATGTGCCCCACTAGCAGGTTGCGTTTGTTTCAGTCATGTTTAAGCACGCTCTTTCATTGCTCTTCCAGTCAATACTCGAAAATAAAAGCCTGCATGAAGAACCTGACATCGCAATGTACTGAAGGTCACCAGCTCACGCTCGTCTTCAGACAACTGAGCATTCTGCGCATGATCGTGACGGACAGTGGCAACTGTCCTGTTTCCAACACGACGGGTGACCCAAGGGTGGGCCTTGTCACATCCTGTGTCGTTCAGTAAGTCTGGTCTGTGTAGTTCAGTAAGTCTGTCGGATGTCGGTCCTTTTCTGTCTGTGCCACCCCTTTTATGTGTCTAGTGAATGTTTGCAGCTCATAATAAATGTGTATTTCTCTTTACATCTACATTCCTGCTTTGGTATTTTCATCTCTTACTCAATCCCCCCCCCCGCCCTGAAAGCCCCTCTTCAACTTCCCCATATTTTTTTTGCCCCTCTAACATGACTTCTTTGTACAGTCAGTTAGCTCCCAATCTCTCTATAATTTATCTGCTGCCTTTCGCTAACAGTTGATCCCTTTGGTTTATTTTTGTCTATTCACTTTTAATAGACGTATGATTTATTCAGTTTTCAATTAGTCAGTTTTAATAATTTTTCACAATTCTTTGATTTGCCTTCTAACCAGTTCCCAGTAAAAGTGTATATTATCAACATCGTTAGCCTCATTTTTGCTGTGGTATCGTGCTCAGTTTTTAAAGAAGATAAAAAAGCAAGTCCTCATTAGCAGCAGTCAAATGGTCTTCGTTGAAAAAAAGTTTAGAACTTCGTAAAATTATACTTTCTTCGTACAGCATTGCCTCTCAAGCCTCTTGTCGAGAAACTTGATTAATCTCGGAATGCAATATTCCAAAAAGAGTAGCTGAACCATTTCACGGGGTTATTGTGAAATAGATAATACTAGCTGGGCCCCCTTTCGATGAAAGAATGATCGGTGCTTTAATATCAACTAAAAGTAATTGGCCTACTATATTTACACTCTACTGGAATGGGGCAATAAATCTTGAGAGATGCAAAAAATTAGAAGGTCTAAATCTATACTCTCAAAACAAAATGCGCCTCGCTAAATATCACTTCCGGGTTTTCTAAAATTACAGAGACAGAAGCGTCGGCCTACAAAAGCGATCCGCGAAATAAAGAAATTTAGCTTTTTCAGCAAAACTGTATCAAAACTGAAAAAACCCCCCAAGGGTGTCATGGTCTGGAGAATATTTTAAAGAATCTTATGGCGAAAACCGCATGTCGATCGATGCAGCCATTAAAAAGCCTCTAGAATAGCAACATTTGGCCACCACAAGCTCTTGAGCAAGGATATGCGCTATATAAATGCAATTATTAATTAATTATTAATTAAATAGATATCGTCGGTCGCCTGATGAAATCGTGAATTCCACACGAAGCAAATTTTACAGGAGAGGGAAAAAACTGATTTTCTCCGTCATTTGGCGTCCAAGAAATAAACTAAATGGATAAATCTATTCAATTACCTTTTAGAAATAATACTGAAGTACATTTTTTACCGTATATGGTAATTTTTTCGAAAAAGTGTGGGATTCACGATTTTCATATTCAAATCTCGCCTGATGCGGTCGTGAATCTGTGTGGAATTCACGATTTCATCAGTAGGCTTTTGGGAACGCGGTGTTGTATTCACGGTTATTAGGCGTTGTGTTTTCTCTTATTTGAGGCCCTGGTATGTTTAAAAATATATGAAAGCACGAAATACTGTTATAAGAAAGATTTTAAAAGACCAATTTAAAACTGAGAATGAAATTACAGATTGAGTGAGACAGAAAGCTATTCATTATTTTACCACTATAAACATCTCTCACTCTTACATGAATGGGATATTGTATGTAATTTATGAAATGATACTCCTTCATTTGCGTGCTTTCTCTCTTTCTATCCTTCTTTCTCCAATTGTAAGTAAGTGTATTTCCTTTGTGGAGGGGGTGGTGGATGGATTGAGAACTTGATTTATGTCAGAATTCTATACCCCCTGAAGGACTGAATGATCATCTTTCATTATCTTACCCTTTTTGTCTCTCAGATCCTGAAAATTACTTTTTGCCGTTAATCAGAAGAATGATACAGTGGTGGGGAACTGTTTGTTAAGTTTTTCTAGTCTCTGGACTATAGAAAACTCTCCCACTCTTCGTCTGCAAAGAATTTCTCCTTATGTATATCAGAGGCTTCATACTGCACTAACAGTTTGCTCTTCTTTTTGTCTACCCGATCTGACAGTTTTGTGAACTGCAATTTTGGTAAAAATCATGGAGGAAAATGTGATCCACAAATTTCACTTTATAGGGTCTTTTTTTAATATAATTATAAAAATTGCAGTTCTGAAAATGTCTTTTATTGAAAGCCGCCGCTCAATTACGCCGTGCATACTTTCTACTTGCATATGAGTGTGGCCTCTAATAATATTTTGTATTCAATTTCGGTGTTTGCATTAATGGAAAAGGCACCCACGGTATTAGAAATAGATGCAATTTTGTGCTGATACACACACACACACACACACACACATACACACTCACACACACACACACACACACAAACACACACACACACACACTCACAAATACACACAATACACATACACACACACGCACACACACACACACACACACACACACACACACACACACACACACACACACACACGCAGCACCCGTAGCTGTATAATAACATATTGTTATAACCTTCTATGCATTTGTGCACGTTAAAAAAGTCCATCAAACAACTTGTGAATTCGTTTGCAATCGATCCACCTTGTGCCTTTTGTTCATAAGTTAAAGATGGCACCATACGAGGTTGCATTGAAGATGATGTGCATGTTTCTGTAACAAGAGCTGGGTGAATTAATAGACAATGACAAAAGTACACCCTGAAGATTCAGGCAAATCATCACAAGGTCTTCTTGCCTAAGAGCAAAGGTTTTATCCATGGCGTGCCCTTTCTTTGTCATGTTCTTTTCTGACATGTGAGATACCCACTTAGTCTGGCTGACGCTGTCAAAACTCAAAACTCAGGCACAATTCACATTGATTTTTTTAAAACTCATAGATCGACATGTTCTTTTCATCTTGCACATATTTGAGTAGCCTGACATAAAAGGCAGATTGTTCCTGACCAGTGCAGGCGGTTTCAAGCTCCGACAGATTACAGAATCAGGGATCAAGATACAGTTTTCCAGAGCTTTGCTGGCAATAGTGAGTGGGAACCTTCAGAAGCATGTCCACAGATGTGAGCAGAAACTCCTTGGCTTGCACGCCCCTTGTGGATTGTTTGGTGGTGCAGCTGGGCTGCGCTCTTCTAAAGCACTCTTTACAAAGTTCTGGAGGATCCAGGTTGTCATCAACACGTGCCTGAGGAAGTTCCTCAGGATCAGATGGACAGACAGAGTCACCAATGAGGAAGTTATGACCAGAAAATTTTCACACAGAAGAAAATAGTGGAGATGGATTGGACTGAGCATACCATTTGGAAATCAGGCAGCTACATATCAAAAACGTTTTAATTTGGAGTCAACAGCTTAAAAGATCAAGGGAAGACCATGTGGAACCTGTAGAAAAGTCGCAGAGAATGATGAACAGAAAAGTGGAAAAACATTTGAAAAATATGAAGAAGTTAGCCCAGGGTAGGGA